TTATTTGCACTGCCTAAAGTTTTACTTATGTCCCTTTATAAAAAGGAGGATAGACCCCTGGACTCTGCACCTGGATGATGCAGGCGGTCATTTTATAAATTATTCATGAGACCATACAAAGTAATACTTTAGTCAGCCTAAAGCCACCATCTAGACAACATCTGTTGTTACTCCTATCCCATTGTTGAAGGTGTGCCGAATATCCGTGCCTAATACCAAACGGACATCACATCAAACCCTAACATCTAAAACCGGATGCCCCAGTCCAACCGCACACCAGGACTGGGATCCAGAGCAGTAACTGACCCATCGACCTTGTCTGACCTGCCGTCGACGCCACCACGACGCCAGACAACACCATCATGCTGCACGTATCCGTCCACATGCACCCGTCGCGAACCTCCGCAACGCCATGCCACCGGGATCCACCGTCGGCCTTGTGGTGGACGAAACACTGCTTTTTCGCTTGTCCCGTCCAACCAGCACTTGCTCCAAAACGATACCCTCAGGAGGAACAACGACATCAAAGGTACCATCATTGTCCAATCCGATAGATCCAAATCTAGGGTTTCTCTCGAAGCATCACGAGTGGGGTGCCACGACCTGCAACAATGATGTCTCGAGAAGGGAACAATGTCATAGATGCCGCCATCGTCCGCCATGACCGAAGTCAGCGCAATTTTCACCGGAAGTCTCGTCCCCCAACCTTGCAGCTGGCTGGAACCGAACGGAGCCTCGCCGTGGAGATGAGGGCCTCCGTCGGCACGCCGGCAGGGAGCCTCTAGCCTACCCTCATCGGCCCTCCTCGCGCCACTGGCCGGCCAAGGCCATACCGAGACGGATCTGGACAGGACGCCAGATCCGCAGCCATCGGAGCCACCCATGCGCCCGCAACCGCCACAACCACCGGCCATACATGAAGACTCCCATCGCCGCCGCATAGTAGGGGCCCCGCACCCTGACTGCCGCCCCGGCCTCCCTGCATGAGATGCCGCCTCCGCCTCACAAGGTCCGCCGTAGCGACCACCTGCCCTGGATCTGCGGCGTAGGGCCCGCCGCCACCACAGCCCTTGCCGGCGGCTGCGGCGGCTGGGAATGGAGCAGCGGGGAGGGAATGGCGGGTATGGATCTGGAGCCCTTGGCGCCGCCCGAGGGGAGGCGACGCGACGCGAGGGGAGGGGAGGGGCATTTCACTTATTTCCTGGGCAAGGCGTTTGGCATTGATGCCTAAACGTCCGCGTACAATGTTTATTTCATTTTACGCTTTGACGTGGTCCGTAATATGGCCAAATATCATCTTTTGGTGCTTACTGAATGTCATGTTTTTTTACATACTTTATCTGTATATATGTGTTGGGGAGTTGAATCGTTCAAGGAGCGCACTTTTTATCCTAGCTCCTCCATTTTTATACCAAATCGAGCGCCGAAGGTTTTCACATATAGAGTATTAGTTTTTAGAAACGTCCATGTTGCAGACTAATCTACGTGAGCAGTCTCAAAATGGATTTTCAGCCTCACACGGTGAAAGTGATAAAAGAAAGTTCTACTCCCTTCAATCCATATTACTTACCGCTTAAATGAATGTATCTAGACAGTCTAGAACCATCCGTTTGACGGTTTGGGTAACAAGTAATGTAGATCAGAGGGAGCATATTCTGCATACAGCGATTTTTCTTTTGAAAGATTAACATGAAGCCATGACGGCCCCCCCCTGTTCCATTCCTCCAATGAAATAAGGATACAGAGTTCAGTTTTGTGCCGGAACTCATATGCCGTAGTTTTCAGAAACGATTGTACTTTAGACCAGTCTACCTTTCAAATTTTTTTAAATGGAGACTCATCGGGTTAATTAAGCAGAAGACAATTGCCCTCGCAAAAAAAAAGCAGAAGACAATTGCCGAGTTAGTTAGTGAAAAATCAGACCAAAACCAATACAAACAGGTCACATGCAGACTACTCACAAAGCATAAAATCCCGTTACCGCACAGACGACCTGACAAACACTTCGTATGCACCACAATCGAATCCACGGTAAAAAACCAAACCACAAGGACAA